TGCTGCACAGCTCAGCTCTTGAGAAAGGACCGTAAATACTTTTTCATATATAATACCTCCCTCTGCCCATAAAAGGAAGAAGAGAAGTGATAAATAGCTGAGGGGGAACAGTCCCTGGGATGCAGTGGAAAGAACAGGCGGCAGGCACCATGCGCTGGCGGGGAGAGGAGGACGGGGCACTGGGAGCCAGACCTGCAGGGGTTAGGGAGTGATCTGGTCCTCGTCAAACCTCGCTCATACCCCCAAACCTTCAGTCCCCAGCTGTCCCTCCTCCCTCCTCCATTAGTATCTGACAGCCTTGTGCAGCAAGACCTGTGGATGGAGACATCCCAAAAAGGGAAAGCTAGGATCCTCCAGGAATTCCCATCAGCGTGCCAAATACAAAATACCGAAACAACCCCCTCTCAGCAACAGACTAAATATGGTGTATACCCAAAGGATCAGAGCACAGCCCTGGGTGAAATAATTTCTCTTGACGTTAACAGCTCTTTCTACTCTGGAAAATAAACCCTCCTGGGGAAGATGGATGAGGCTCATATTGGTCTCGGCATCCTAAAAAAATACCTACGAGGAGAGGCTGGGCTGAGAACCTCTGCTGTCACTCGGTCAAAGTACCAGCACTTGCAGGTGCGACAGACCTGTAGCCCCTTCTTCTAGCTCTGGCCGGTGGTGAACAATTTTGGGCAAAGAGGAGAGGGGGGCAGAGCATGGGGGTTTTTTCCCTGCGACATTTCAGAAGTATCCGGTACGGACTCACGTTCAGGCCTTAGCTGGAGACGACCAGCTTTGCCAACACAGTCGCATGGCCCCAGCAGTTGCAGCCTCTCCTTCCAGATGGAGGGTCAGCGTCCGCTGAGGTGCGGGGCTGCCGCGCAGCCGTGCAAAGCCCTCCCAGGACCCGAAAGGCAGCAGTGTCATATCAGACATGTGCACGTGTGACTGTGTTGGAGCAAAGCCAGGGGTAATGATCGCCAAGACGTAAATCCAAGAAATTTGCCCTTGTTAGCAGAAAGTTCCTCACAGGGTAGTTCACCCTATTTTTTTTTTTTTTTTCCAGTTTCTCAGTTGCAAACTTAGCTTTTAAATAGGAGTATAATGAATAGAAAATAATGAAATGCAAGGGGATCCTCTGAAAAGTATGATCATTTTAACATTCATCGAAGTTACTCTGAGGAGTTGCTTTTAAACCCATGCAGCTGTTTCATAAAACCAGACACATTTTAATAGTAGCTTAAAAAGGAATGGAAATTACTCTGGCTGGTCTGCAAACCACTGCATGTGCACATGCAGGCTTGCTGCCTGAATAGCGTGTTTAACAGAGGCAGTGGTGGAGGGTGATATATGATGTGACATTAAACGGAGCTGGAAAGTCCAAAAAGTATTACTGCTGGGACTGAGACAGTTGCACTCTCGAGCCATGTGGGGTAGGAACTGCTAAGTGCAAGCGTGGCTTCCAACCTTCACTTAAAAGTTAACATAAGAATATACCAATATAATAGCCTGGTTGGACTTTCCTAAATGTTGTGGTATTTTTTTTTTAAACCAAAGTTGCCTCAGAATGAAAGCTGCCTTTGTGACAACAAAAAAAGCTTTATTCGATCTCCTCCCCCCTCCCTCTGCCATTTGTTTATTTGTTTTAATTACTTTTCTAGAAAAAAATAGTGTGGAGCAGCCTGCCCTTAAAATATCTCCTTGCTGAATTTGCACTGTAAATATTGTACTTGAAAACAAAAAAAAAGAGGACTTGAGAAGGAAAGAAACTTTCAGCTGCCTTACCACAGTGTAACCTGAATACAATGGAGGGAAAAAAAGAAAAGCACTGATGGTGATGTTTGTTAAACAATGTGTGTCAGATAAGCAATATTTTTGTTTAAAAAATGTTTTTACCTAACTTTACCAACCCTGTTTCTCTACACTGACATATGTAATTGGAACTGACAAGTGTACCCGTGGGTTACCACCTGTGTTGAGCTGTGCATTTGCAACAGGAGGGACAGTCTGTGTCCAAACTAGAACTATTAATCACGAGAGTAGTCTGACAAGGTTGAATAGTCACTAACAGCTTAATACTAAGCTTTGTGCTTAATGCTGGCTGCAGGTCAAGTGAAGTATGTGAAGCACACAGGTCAATTCTGAATCCGTTGGACACCAGCTGCTACTGAAAGGTTGTCTTTGCAAGTGTGAACAAATATTTCGGGGTTTCTTTTCCTAAACATAATCACCCAATTATAATCACTCCTCCGGAAAACTGATCAACTGACACTGAGATTCAGCTTGATACAAAGGGTGCTCAGGAAGGAAAGCGTAACCGACTCCTTGGAGCATGTTGATAAAGCTTAGAAAAAAATTTCCCCTGTGCATGACAGAAACTAATACCTCTGAAACAGCACTGATGCTGTGGAGTCCATAAACATAGTTTCCTCTGATTCTAGGGGAGAGCAAAAATTTGGTTTTAAGGATTTTTTTTTTTTTTTAACTTGTGGATTAAATTCTTCCAAAGTGCTTTCCACATCTGATATCCACACCAAACTTCACTGGCTCCTTGTCACCTTCACTTGTGATATCACACTTTTAGACAAAGAACAGCCTCTTTTAACGTAATTCCCGCTGTAACAGTCTCAGTTACAGTGTTCTATCTCCAATAAAATTCAGGAATGTATTTTGCTCATTAAAACTCCCAAACTTCTAAATGCCTTTTTTTTTCTCCCCCATTTTCTGATCCCAGTAGAATGAATAAGGGCAGTTAATGGAAGACATCACAGTCTGTAATTAAGCTAGAAGGAGCTGCTTAAATAATTTGAGAAAATAACTTTTGTGCATGCTCACCTAGGTGGCAATTTCATCTAAAACCTGAACCTGTGACTCTAGGACTGTGAATTATTTTCATCTAAATACTGACCTCACTTAGCTTAAACTTTTAAGGAATTATTTTTTGGAAGGTGCAGCCATATTGTACAGGCTTTGCAATTCCTCTTCATCTGTTAACAAGTAAGGGAGCCTGACATTCATAGGACTTGCTACATGTCTGCATCTTGAAAGATGCTCTCCTATTTCATGTACTGTCAGGATAAATGCTAGACCATTAATAATGTGATTAGACCAGTGTATTTTCATAGACGTATTTCAAAGCTTTGTTGTACAAATAAATATCACTGGAAATACACTTTACTCTGATTTTGCTTCTGCAATGACCATACTTTGAAACAAGAGATTGTTCCCAAACCCCAAATCTGTACTGCGAGGGTAATGGAGAATTAGGTGAAATGCATATTGCACCAAGAGCAAACAGGCCAGCTCCCACTCACCGACCAAGCGCAGGATCCTGACGATGACCTGAAGCTGCAATCCCCAAAGAAAATAGTCCCAAGATTCCCTCTGTCTTAAATGTTTTTCTTCTCTGACTTCAGATACACACCTTTACCTCAAAGCTCAGTGAAGGATACCCCTGTAACTGCCTCTGCTTTCATGGCTATGGAGACCATGAGCCTGCTGAGCTGTGTGCTTGAGAAAGGGCAAGTACCAAACATCCATTTTGCCTTCTTCAACCAGAACAAAAATTGTATTTAAATTCTACCACTAAAAATCCATTTCCCAGGGAGCTCCATGGCACCTGGGCAGCTTCTGTATGATCTATGGCAGGAAGGCAGAAAGCAAATGCAATGGCTTTGGTTATACTGGAAGATAAGTGTAGCATAGAAGGTTAGAGCTTCTGTGTTTCCCAGTGTCTTTTTTCCTTGCTCTTGAAAAGACAATTCAGATTCCAGATATACATAACAATTTGACCCACTGGTTTATGGAGAAACAGTGGCCTAGGATTTAACCTCTGGAAAACCAAAATTAAAAATTCAGGGATTTCTGTGACCAGAGCAATCATATCTGCATTGTTCAAAAGTTCATTTTTGCAACTTTCCATAGAGGTACTTTAAGTTCATTCCAAAATGAAGGTAATTTGCAAAGAACAGCTTAGAAGACCATTTTTCTACTATATTTTTAGACAGAGAACTTGAGAGAGACTGGTGGTAGTTTTCACATGGACGGCTCTTCAGCAAAGTAGTTGAACCTGACAGTGGTGTTAATACAGAGCAAACAGTGAGGGCATACAGAGATAAATTTGCTTGCTTGACCAAATGGTCAATTCTAAGTGATGCAAAGCTACAAAAGACTGAAAAGATGGATGTGACTGAGGTACGTTTGCAAACACATGTCCTCCCCTCTTGGAAACAGTCCTGAGATACTTATAAATCAGCAAATGGGGAGCTGGCAGCATTGCCAGTCACACGAAGGGGATGAACTACTTGCTGAGGCTTCAAATGGATAAATGCAACTTCTCATTTCAACTCGTAACTGTTCTCTGCAATTTCACAATAGAGGCTAGGCTGTTTACCAAAATAAAAAAATACCTGTAATGCTAACTGGGCCAAATCAAGATAAAGGCAAAACTTTGCAGTCTGTACAACTCAGGGTCCTTTCACTTAAATTCACACGCTGCATGTTCTCCTCTCTTTTTTCCCCACTTACTGTACCACTTATCTAACAATTAAGATTTTTAAGAACGCAACCCTAAAAACGTATTTACACAAAACTCCTCTCAGTACCACTGGAAACACTAATATCCATACATTTTGTTAAAATTAGTAGAGAAAAATAGCTAACCTATTATTTTTTATGTACCCCTGTAAGTTTGGCTTTTACAAATTACCATTTCTAAACATGTAAATACCTCAGCTAAAAAAAGTTCTGGGAATCAGTAATCCACTATCAACTTTATTTTTAGCTTTGCCTGACTTTGAGTTTCATGTCATTTGGGGAAAAAAACAGAAGCTTCTCCCCTCCCATATACTCAGCGTTACACAATACAATTTATAGCAACTCCAGATGGAAAAGACTTACCCTCATTTGTTTGCTGGCATGAAGATAAATATAGTCATTTCCGGAGAATTAAAAACAACTATTCCTCTAAAGCACTTTACTTTTCTATTCAAATTTATTTTCCCATACTTATCCGAAAGTAGCAACAGCTTCTTTTTAAAGAAGAATGATTAAAATACTTAGTTTGAACACTTTCAAAATACCACACAGAATACTGGAAAATTTTACTCGGCAACAAAGGAAAGACACACAAAGACATAACACAATAAACAAAGTGCAGAAATTATGTTATCTGATAAATTTTTATAAAGTAAAACCAGTATTTTTAGGCCCAATTCTAGACACAGGCTTCACTAATCTGACTTCATATGCAGTTTTCCTTCTATTGGCACTAGAAGAAGACAGCCTTTGCTAATATTTTTTTCATTGACAGTAAGTATGACCCTGTCCATCCTGTCTCATGGATAGATCTAACAAGCTGAAATGGTCCCACTGGACATATTGGGGAAATTTATGCAAAGAAGAATTTAATAAATTAACTCTTGCAGAACTTTACATGAGAAATTAGCATATGAAAGACCTCATCTGTTTATACTTTGTAAAACGAGGGGCTCTTCGATGCTCATGCCAGCCATCCTTCCTGGTTCTGGAATTCTATCTGAAAACGAAACACATACATAAATATTTTCACACACCTGTAAATCCAAAGGTATAAGTGTTATTTTCTACTATTATCAACTTTGACACAGAATATCATCATAGGAAACGGGCAATTTTACAAATATATTTTCCCAGGCAACTGTATAAGATAAAGAGTTTTTTGCGTTACTAAAGATTCAACTCAGCTATAGTGAATGAACTAACAGAAACACCATGTTCCACATGTTTTATCAGGATTCCTGGTCTGCATACCAGTTTACTGGAATATTCATTCAACTAAATAAGATAATTTCTAATGTGAAAAGCAAGTTACATGTTAAAATAAAATATGAGACTTGGAGGGTTAAGTTTATGAATGGACTTGATTACCTTAATACGCAGCCTAATTAAAATAGCTAGATAACTAGTATTGTAAACCCAGTGCCTTTAAGTCTCTGCTAACATATTCCACAAACACATGCAGAAAGCAATTTCAGACTATAGTTACTTAAAGGTTAAAAGCCTTAAAACTGTTATATTTTTGTTTAGTTCAAAAAGCAATGTGCTATCATGTCTTATGATTAATCCTGAGTTTTGTAACTAACTCTAAACAATTAAATCCCCATGTGAAACTACACTGGAGTCAACAGGGGAAGGTGACCCTGCAGAGAGTCAATTTCAGAACTGAGGTACAAAGTTATACTTTAAAAACAATTCTTGTATACACTGAATTTGTTCTTAAAAATGGAGAAATTTCTGATAGGAATAATTATTTTCTAACAAAGAGATCATGTATAGCAGTTTTGGTATTGCAATTTTATTTCTTCAGCCCCCTCTTCTGGCAGAAGGGGAACAACATTGTCTCAACGAATTAACTGTTAAAAGTGTTTAGTACCTCTCTCACACTTTTTCGATGTTACTAATATCTCAGGCCTCATATTTTTCAAATTTTTGGATACAAAAGAAATAGGTAATAGTACTAAATTCTCACAATAGAAAGTGAAGTAATATGCCAAGCAGACTCTTTGAAGGAAAAAACTGGACCAATGATCATTGTGTTAGTTACATTGAATTGTAACCAGTCAAATAGCAGACCAGAAAGGGAAACTAAGATTTAGCAGTGTTCTACTATAGAGCAATGAACTTGGAGCTTAAGCTTCTGCAGTCAATGGGATGTGAATTATATCCTCAGAAAAGGTTTATGCCCATATACAAAATTACAAATTATACAGCTAAAGAGTTAAGAACTTCCTATAGAAATTAGGTAAGTTAGACCAGATGAGAAACAAAGAGAAAGGCTCACTATTTAACATACTTTACTGAGAATGTAGGTTAAATTCCTCTATTAAGTTGCCAATGTAATAAGACTATCTCTAGCTGACCCGTTCCAGATTTGTAATAGTGTAAGGGAGTATGATTTGGCCAGTTTAACTTTTAGGAAAATAGTAAAGCAATCTGGTGGATGACGTCCCTGATACTGAGAATTGGGATACTAGTATTTTCTGGTCTTTACCAGTAACTGCAAAACTAATTAGAATAGCACAGCTGTCCAATTTACATGAGTTTTCAGTTTTTAACAGTCCAAAAGCCTTAAGAGAATAAAGCTAAACAATTAGGCTTTTCCCCCTTCCCTCTAAAAACTACCAAGTAGCTACAGCTACCACAAGGTAACAGGAGCTTCACAGTACCTTGCACTGTTGAGAAATTATATAAATTTGGCTGTCTGCAATTTTAAAAAATGTCTGCTTTATAAATAAAATACATTTCCATATAAGAGAAAAAGTTCTACTGCTGACACATTTGAAGGCCAGTCAAGCACTTCCGAGAGCAATCAGATTTGTATGCTGCCCCATTAGCATACTGGCAGAGAGAAGCAGGCCTAAGGGTTGGTGTAAGTTGGTCACATATTTAAACAAAGGCACATATACAGATTGTTTTAGAAATCATGGGTGTGTCTTCAGTTGGATATAGTAGGTCCTTTCTTGAATACATGAGCAAAAGGTATGGTCAGGTCACACAGCTTAATGGTATTTTTGAGGTATAAACACTGTTCCGCTGAAGAATTTTTCTTACAAAAGAGGTGTCAGCTCAAAGCATTCCTTGCACAGAGGAGGAGGTACACTGTGTCCATCTGCATGTTTATGCTATTATAAGCATACGTATCATATAGAAAATCTAGTCACAGATAAAACTTCTGCAAAAATGACCCCATAGCCACACCCACCTTTTTGATTCCTCTCAGTAGGTGGTTTGCCAAGGTTCCGCTTTGGATAATTCAGCAAAGACACTTTTGGAAGAGTATTCTGGGTACTTTCTTCTTTACCACCATGTAAGAAATGAGAGATAATTCCATACAAGAGAGGTCTGCTTAGGAGAGAAATGACAAAACCAGTCTATGAAGTCTATGAAATACTGAGCATTAAAAACCCACCCCTTCCTCAGAACTTCTGAGACCTTAATGTTTATTTCTAGAATATGTGCAGATGTCTTTAGAGTAATTATTTAAAATACATTATGCTAAGTGTTATTATATAAATAAGCACAGACCTAAGCCCACCCTGAACACTAACACTCTCCTAAAGAACTCGCACTAAGAGACACTCTCAACTAAGCTCCAGATGCGCTGTAGGTAAAGAACCAGCACATGCTTAGCACAGGAACACAGACCCACAGTCTCACTCGTGCAGTACAAAGGATCAGACTTCGGCTGGGCCATAGCCCAGTCCACTACTGCACAACGCAAACTTGATTCTTCCTTAGCACCTGACAGATTCTGACAGCACAAGCTACAGAGAACACCAAACGTGTTTAAACCTGCTTCAGTATCCTAGCTCATTAATACAGTCATACAGGAGCATTGTGAATTTGTATCTAATCTCAAAGTAAAATAATCTTTTTATTGCTCTACAAAGCAACTCACTGATATGCAAAGAGCATATCTGTTTTCTGCTTCTGACTGTAGGGAAGACTGTACTGGCAAGACTTGTGTTTTGGTGTGCAAGTACACTATATGGAGAATGCTATAGAGTTGGCAGAATTAAATGTTAGTTTTGAGTATGTTTGAAAATGGCCCCATGTTTGCCATTGTGAGTTTGAGTCCAGCATGTCAAAGCAGCCCTGTGATCTAGTCATATTTCAACTGGTAAGAACATTTATATGTGATTCACAGTAACACTAAAGAGAAAAATATACGCAGAACAGAATACACTGTGGATTCCCAAATCACTCCTTACACTGATTTTCCATTTGCATCTTCGACTATGTTCAGTTCTTTGGCAAGAAACTGTCTATCCAAGGGCACTTCAGACTGGCCAGATTCTGGAAAAGAGATTTCCCCCAAATTCTTAAGACTGTTAAGAAAAACATCACCAATTAACTTTTAAAGACTGTTCAGGAGACTTCAAAAGAGAATGAGAGCACACACCTCCCTTTTAGACTATTAATATCTAACAGTATACTGTAATTCCAGGGAACTCACTTAAACACTAGTGCTTCATACTCATATAATTTACAATAGCATATTACAATTTTTATCTTCACTCTAAAGGAATCTAATAAAAATATTAAAGAAGTCTTACAATATAAAGATAAATTAATCAGGCAAACAACTCTTTCTCTAAAGAAGTACTGTTATCAAACAGATTCCATATGTTAACTACTATACTGACTGTCTCCATTCCCTCTTCTTGAGATGAACCTTTCCACCTGTAATTTTAATAGAGTGAAAGATATAAAATTATTAAATAGAAAATGTAATTACTGTATCTAAGCACAACTACAGAACTTCACATTTCAAATACAAATTAGCAACAGCTGCAAAAATAAGTGCTGTACCGTACAAATTATGGCTACCACTTAGATGTTGTAGTCTAAACAGCTCTCAAATATTAGTATTTTAGCACAGCCAGTAACAGTAATACTTAACTACGGTTGTTAAAAAATATGGAACTTCTTCATATTCTTTTTTGTTATTTAAGCTGAGGACATCTAACCAATTTCTGATACAGTCTAGATGCACGAATTTCCAGAATTGCTGTAATTCAGACTATCAACTGCTTTATGTACATATTAGTTTAGTTTAAATTATTCCTCAAAGAAATTTTATTCATTTGTAGGATTTCTATTTTTCTATTTTACCCAAATGCCAATGAGAAAAAAAAAGGATATATTCTTTAAAAATATTGTTAGCCATTTTCCAAAACAAAAGCAGATATTTCAAGAAAGGTATTTTGATTTTGCAGGCTGCTAGCAAGTTTTCTTGCTCTTGCATCAACTGCTCTGTCAAAGCATTTACCTCAAGGATAAGAAGCAAAGGGTAAGTTTTCCTGATTTGGCTTAATGCTGCAAGTAAAGCTGTGGAGAGAGTGTTAGTATCTTATTTATTTCCAAGGCAAGACAAGATTGTGCAGCTTGGTCCCACTTATTAATTTCATAGTATCAGCAGAATTACTCAAGCAAACAGTAAATGTCTATTAATAGTGATGACAACAAGAATTCAGTCCCAATACCTGCAGTTAAAACAGATGCTGCGTATTTATATTTGTTATATTCCAGGTATTCACGAATTAGTTCGTTAATTAAGAGATTTTCATGAGACAGTGGTGGCCGTGGTTCACTTTGGTCGTCCAGTGCATTAAAAACTTCAGCTCTGATCCTTGCTTTTATTTGCCCAAGAGCACCTCTTTTTTCCAGTGTGTCCTTTAAAACTATTACCATAAAAAGATCTGTTAATGTAAAGCCAAACATACTCAAGCAGCATTTATCATCGACGATATAATTTCGGCATATTCACTGTGAAACGAAGATAAGATATCTGCACCTGTGCATATGCCAGTAGGTGACAACAGTAGGAACGTTACAGATATAACTGTGACTCATTCGAAGGCTTAGTTTTTAATTTTTTTTAAGTAGGAAACATACGTTCTAGCAAGTTCTCCCATCTAGACGTGGGATGTTACTGCACCAAGAGGCATTTAACGAGTGAACACCAGACCAAGGTAAGTAACAAGGGCAGCCCGCCTGTGTGGTGGAGGCTTAGGAAGCTTTCTCCTGCGGCTCCCCTACGGGCGGTGTGGGAGCCGGCGGCCCCCATTAGCGCCCGCGGGTACTACGAGACCCAACCGGCCGCCGGGGGTCTGAGGAAAGTCCGGCTGCCCGCCCTTTCGGTGGTCTGAGGTGCCGCCCGCGGAGCTCCCCGCCCCCGCCGGCACCCCTCGGCCCCCGCCACCTGCTTTGAGCTCCGCCACCGTCGCCATCGCCCAACCGCCGCGCCAAGGACCCGGATGCGACAGCCCGGCGGCGGCAGGCGGCCACGGCGCAGGCGCAGTACTGGCAGGCGGGAGCCGGCG